ATAAACATGACGTTTTATTTTTCGTATTTCGTTAGTATATTATGTAATTATATTATTCGATGTGTGCCTCTTCTACTCTCCTCAAATAAGTTCTTGAATTATTTACACTTTCTTTATGCCTATAATACCCAGTATAATATATCAAACGTTTTGTAACCAAACACGCACGATGCTTGTATATACTTAAACAATTCATACCGATATTGCAGCTCATCACACTTACAATTTAACGTTTTTGAAATTCATCTATTTGAAAAATGTAAACAATAAGCTGCATAGTATTTAAAAATGTATTACACATTTACACATTTATAATTATATATATAGTATTACCAGCCTTATACAATTTTAAATTCAACATAAATAAGTTTTTTTATTATTGACTTAACATAAACGCTTTTAAATTTTAAATTCACATTACTTTAATTGATTTCACGACTCACTGAACCCAATAAACAGTTTATAGAATTATAGGTATACTAGAGACAACGGTATTCTTAAAATTACAATAACAATATGATTCTTTCCGCAGCTGATAAGTACACAATAATACAATATTCTAGTACACATATTATGGTTTTTTTTTCTGTGCAAAGTAAAATATTTTTCTGGATATATAATAGCTTATGGATATTTATTTAGCCTTGCAAAAAATATAGTAGTCAACAAATACTTATTATTATTACATCCTGTGCTTTTCGAAAACGCTATATTGAAATTGATTAAAATAATAAATACGAAAAAGGGAAAATAATCTAACCTATAATCGTATGACATTTTGCAAAATAAATTAAAAATATTTTAAGATCAAACATTTTTGTTTGTCGAATTAAATTAAAAATGTTTAAGAATTATTAACCCCTTGGATCTTCGGATAGTACTTAATACACACACACACACACACACACATATATATATATATATATATGTAAATTATATAGGTTGTATAGGTACAACATAATAATAAACTAAAAGTTGGAAAAATAATTATGTTCTCTTTACCCCGCATATTAACAGATTGATTTACTGAAACTCTTTGGTCTCGTTATGTTTACTCTTTGAACAATAATAGTGAAAATTTTCCCCTCAACTTCAGACAAGAAACGTTATTGAAATTCCAAAAACTTCCTAACTGCCTAAATAACTTATATAGTGGGACTCTCGTGGAATATCTAAACCTATTCTATAATCTATCGGTAAAAAATGTTATACATCAATTTAGATTTAATTAAAATGTGAATACCAATTAAAACATGATTCCGAATCGTGTGAAATTTTATGAAATTTTTCAAAATTATAGATACAATGTACGAATTACGTCTTGTAATACTTCCTACAATATTTTTTTGCAATTTCATGATTTTTTTAATATACCTACTATATAAACTGTGGTGTTGATTGAATGATGGAGGGTTCATTTATAGTTACACAAAATAGTAAAAAAAATTATTGTAATATGCGCTGTTTTAACGCGAAAAACGAGTGTATTGCTATTATTTTATAATACTAAACGATACCGACGATTTATCAAAGATGGTTTTTATCCTAACTGAAGGTGACAATTTTGGATCATAGGTTTCAAGGTTTTATATATTTTTTATGCAATGATCGCAATGTTTTGACGTACGTAGCATATTTAGAGAATTCAAAAACTATAGTTTAGTTATATTATAATCAAAAAGAAAAAAAAAGTTATTATTAAATAAAATAATTTTATAATTTTCAATCATTATATCGATATCGTAAAATAGATAATGATAATAATAATAATAATAATAATAATAATAATAATAAGGATATACTATTGTCTACGTATTATTATTATTATCATAACATTCTTTCTCGGTGTCATGTTATTTATTGACAAGCCAATTTTCACGCCACCGTATCCCTGCAGCTCGCAGTCAAGCCCTTGCTGCGATGAGAAGTGCACTGCTACCCCTTGACACTGCTGCCACCCCGGCGGGTTTCCCTGGCAATTCCTAATATTTGGTGTGAACATGACAGCACACCGTGAAATCACATTACCTCTACTCATTTCTTTTCAATAGTCGAATTTTCGCCGTTCACTCCTCTCTTCTTTTTTACCGCCCTCTCACACACATACACACACATATATATATATATAAGTATACGGATCGCCGAACCCGACGCATCGTGTGCCTTTTCACTCTTTATTAAATCAACAACCCACTCTGCAGCCGCCGCCGGCTACTCGGCCGAACTCATACTATCCATCCCCTCAATGCAGGCAATGTGACACGACTGCTGATTTTTCGTTATTACTATATAATAAATATATATATATATATATACACACACACACACACAACTACTTCTGTTTCTGTTACTGCTACTGCCACCGATCCTGTTGTTTGTAGAGCTTTTTTTACAAACGATTTTTTTCATATATATATATATATACATACATGTATATTTATTTTATCCCTTCGACGTCTCTCTCGATTCGATCGCCGCCGGTCTCTCCACGCACGCACAAATGCAATATGTCGATTCAGCAACAGTACAAATATAACAATAATAAAACAATTCCAAACGTCATCTGGGAATGATCTAAATTATAAAAACGCGAATCTACATCGCACTCGTATAATGGTAATAATATTCGGTTAACGTGCGTGCGATGGTGACTAACTCGTCGGACAAAATTTATAAACAACCACTATAAGTACAACATACCACCTAGGAGAATTTTCTATAGTCTATACGATATTGCAAATCTACCAATTATCGAGAACACAATCTATCGGGCTTAAAGCGTCTACAGTTTACAAAATAAATGTAAAATGTTGAACAAGTCGCTTCGATGCATCGACTCAGCAATCTGAACAATGTTTACAAAACGTACTGTGTCGGATACAATTACGGGATGTTTGCGGAGCTCTGTAAAGGCTACATATTATGCATACAATTTATCCGCTCAAATAAGTCTCACAAAATAGCTGATATTAAATTTTGTTGTTCACGAACAGTATGCAATAAAAGTGAAACGGAACTTATTCGGATTAATTTTTGGTATTAGTTAAGATCAAATAATATTGTTTCTCTCGTTATAATAGAACACGTAAGTCAGCTGAACACACAAATCGTAGTATACTCGTAATATTTCGAACCGTTATTAGTGGATATCAAAATATTATTTTATTGATTTAGAAATTTGTTATATTTTCTATTTTGAAAATTATGTGTTATAATCTCGATTCATATTTTTATTTTTTTAAGTATTTGTTTATACTTTTGTAATATTCCTATTACAATATAATATTTTTATATTTTTATAGAACGTAAATCGTGTATTTTGTATAAGTATAAAGTAGATAGTGACCCGTAGTTATTATAATCTAGTATGTATTATCAGTTAATTTAAGTTAGGTTTACACACTTATATAATGATTTAATATAAACAAATATTTGTTAACCTAAAACATAATAGGTAATATGTATAGGTATATGAACGCAGTGCGTTGTGGAGCTATTACTTGGCACCTACTCGTGTCCTCGTGACGGATATACCAATCCGCCCAAACATAATATATTTAACTAACCATCAGAATTCAGAATTCTGACAACGTTCAGCTTGGTTTTACAATGAACCAAACGATATAATTTAGTACTTGCATCAGCTACACAAGCGCAAGGGGACACTTACGTCAAAATACATGAATTATATTAAAGTGTTACTGACATTGACAATGATTAACAATCCTCGATTCATTATGTATTAGTATACGATGAAAATAGGTAATCAGAATTATTTAATATAAAAATGAATCGAATTTATCTCATTAATAGTTTAAAAGTAGCGAGGATCTAGCTGTCGTCATTAATACAATATTATCAGTACCTACCCATTTAAATAAACAATGTCGAATAATTCTCTAATTTTCCCTGAGTTTGATTAATCAAACTGTCATTGCGTACTTATGCCATTGTTTTTCACTTAAACTTTAATAACAGAACACTGGAGTATACCATTATTACAAATTATTACTTTGATAGAGTAATTTAATATTATCGTTATCATTGAAACGTACCTATGCATACTATTACATACCTATCGCATTGTTTCCAATATTAATATTAATTTATCAAAATAATTCAAAATCCGTGTTTTACTGCATTTGAAAACGAGACAATGTACTTACTACTTCTTGAAGTAGAGAAAAGCTCATTAAAATATACAATATATATTATATGAGTGTTTGTGTATACATTTATACGTAATTAAACCAAACGAGTTGCGATTTTTTCTTGTTATTTATCCAACTGGTCAAACGTCCTTTTTACCTGAAATGTTGTACCGACATCTCTATCATTGATGTATTTATTTATTATGTATTGAGAATAATTTTTACGACTTTAATACGTATATTCACGTAGGTACTACGCGTTTTTGTATTGAGAATTATAGAATTAAATAAACAAAAACAAAAACGTAAATCTAATAAATTTGTTTAACATCCAAATAATTGTTTTCTTTATTCGAATAATAATAATAATAATAATAATAATAATAATATTGTACACTTAGAATCGAAAAGTAAAATATATAGATGACAAAAAATAATAATAAAACGGTAGTGGGACATAAACATATACATATTATATTTTGATAAATATCTACTACCGGGTAATAACGGAAGTGCAGGTACAGGAGCGGGTTGTTGTATACAAACATAATTTTAATATTATTTTTATACAATAGGCTTTATTTCATAACACATTAAGTCGTAATAATAATAATAGATTGGATCGACATAATGTTATATAATAACACAATATCATTGTTATTATCGGTACATCGAGTGGGAGCAGTATTAATTGATGCGTCGTGGCTGTGGTGGGAATAGGTACTCGTACAACGCGTATATAGTGACAGCTACAGCAGTGGAGACTGTGGTGATGGTAGTGACGGGATGGCGATACATTTTTACGTCGTGATAATACCGTAATGGTAGTTATATCAAACTGTGCCGACAATTTTTTATTTTTTTTTGCAAACAGGTCCACCGTTCGACTTGCACGAGTCTGATATCACAAAAAAGCTAACGAGAAAAACAACGGAGGTAATATGAAATACGCTTATTACAATGTGCTCCGGCTGGCGGCTATGTGACGCATCGAAAACGCCAAAACTGTACCTCCGGGAGCGGGACCGCCGCGGAGCTCCTTCAGATAAGCGCGGGTGCACGGGGTGGCGTAAGACGAACAACAACAACAACAACAACAACAGCATTATGCGGACAAATCATTAACGGTGTTTGCAGTACAAGGTACAAGTAAATTACGTATATAATATTATTTTCAAAAGTACGTGTCCGTCGTTGGTACTCGCGCGCGGTGCAATCGTACTGAGATTAAAATTTTGGAAGGGGCATGCGCGCACGCGTGCTTCGGCGATATCATCGTCATCATCGACGTCATCGTCGTCGTCATCGATATCGCCTAGGCCGCGGTGCAAAGCACGCTGCATCAATACGGCCGCCAGACGTCCGCGGTCTGCTTGGTGGTGGTCTTGGGCGAGACTGCCGGCGATGCGTCTGCAGCTCCGTCGCGGTCGTCTCCGTCGTCGCCGCGGCCGCAGTCCGCGTCACCCTCGTCCGCGGCGGGCGACTTTTTGGACGACTCGTTCTCGGCCACCGACCCCCCATCGCCGCCGTCGTCGCCCCCGCCGCCGATGCCGTCGCCTGCCGCCTTCTGCGCCGCGGCCGCGGCCACCGCAGCGGCCGTCGACTCGTTGTCGAATATCATCGTGTTGCGTATGTGGCTCAGGTACGGGTTGGGGTACAGCTGAGAGTACAGCCACTGCGTGTGCGGTTGCATCAGTGGCGCGTTCAGGAACAGGCTGAACAGCGACGGCGCGACCAGCGGTACGGGTTGCGTGACGGGCGGCGCGGGCGCGGCCGGGTGATGCGATCGCGGCGACACGGCTGCTCCGGCCGCGGCCATGATGTGCGGCGGCAGCTGAGCGACGGGCTGCGCGGGCGGTGGCGGTCGCAGCTGCGGCGGCGGCGACGGAGGCGTCTTGGCCGAGCGCCGACCACCGCGGTGGTCGTCGTCGGACGCACGTCGCTTGTTCTTGTCGTGTTCGTCGATGCCTCCGCCGCCGTTGTTGTTGTTGTTGTCGTTATTGTTGTTGTTGTTGTTGTTGTTGCTGTTGCTGACTGCTGCAGATGCGGACGCCGTAACGGCCGTCGGTGACAAACGGTCCGCTGCCATCGCCGCCGACACCACAGCACTCTTCTCCGACCGGTTGTCCGCGCGATGTCGCTTGTGGTGATGGTGGTGATGGTGGTGGTGATGCCGCTTGTGCGCGCCGCTTCCGGTAACCGTAGTCAACAGACCCCTGTGACCCCTGATCCCGGTCCTGTGACTTCTGGTCGTCGCGCTATCCACGCTCACGTTGACGCTGATCGGGCCCAACGGCTCCGTCACGGTCCTGGCGCTGCTATTGATGCCATCTGCGAAAACACAATAAATGTCCTGTTAAAATATTTTACGACGGCACCCGTTGGCAGGCGTGTATTTGGTCGATTTGAACCTTTGACGAGTAAGGGACAATTTTCGCATCTCTGCAGAGAGTAGGAATGGACCATATTATAGAAATACTCTATCTGATTTCGTTTCGAAGTACGGAAATGTTAATGACTTAACAAATTGAAAAAACATAATAGTATTAGGTCTATAGTAATTAAAAATGTATTATTACATTAGTCTTGGTTTTTCCTCCGTGTAAATTTATAGGCTTGTAGGTTTTTTTTTTTGAGCGATTTATCGATGAAAATCTATTTTTAGTTTAGTTAATGTCATTATAGTATCTTATGTAATCTCTATGATTAGGTACAATCTATTTTATACTCGAAGACGAAAAAATGCATCTTATCTTTAAAATTAAGTATGGTTATTATTTATTAGTTATTACCTAGGTATATTGTGTGCTTGTTTCCAAACTATCTCAAACAAAGCAATATCGCACGGTAATAAAACTCTCATTTATTATATAATGTACGTATTTTACAGCGTGGCTTCCGTTTTCCTGGTGAAAAGCTCGTCATTCCGGTCTGTTTCAATTGTTAAGATTCACCAGCCCCCGAGGAGTCGATCTCAATTCCGGAAATAGCCTTAACGCGATTCCGGGGTGGCACTTAGTATCATCCCGTGAGAAAAAAAAATTGGATTGAAAATGTCTGTTAACATAGTAATACCTAGGTATTTTTTTAAAACGAACCAATAACGTCAAAGAGAATAATTCGTTTCGTTCGCAATAATAGTGTAAACTAAACGTCGTTACATTTTGTTCTATCACTCTTCTTGTTTTGAAAACTCGAGATTGTTACGCGCGCTAATAAGATACTCTTTACAGTCTATACAATATTATATAATACGACAAAATGTAATGTACCTATACTAGTAAAAAGGAGACGCGTTTTCCTCGCAGCAATTGTCGATGTTTAAGCATAGCTACGCTAAGTGAACTGAGTACCATTGATGATTATTTTTAAACGAATCGTGATGCTTCGTAAAAAAATATATTATATATAGGTCATGTATTCATGTGTAATTGTAAGCACTATTCTTGTATATAATTTATCGATTTATGTTTAATGTTTTAAAAGCGCAACACTACAACTATTATATTGTTGGCGATAGCGATGAGAGTGACATTTTTATAACCCGATATCTTTTATTTATGATACGTTGCATATAATGTTGCCATAACATAATAAAGTTTGATCTCAAACTTATCGATAGTTAATGTATTTACAAAAAATATAGGACGTAAGTATAGTATAACTTTTTGAATGTGGTTTATTGGTGCATTGAGTGTATAATCATGAAATAAAAATACATGCATTACCTGCGCCCGAGTTAATCGTCTGCTGTTGAATCACTTCATTGGTCGTACCATTGTATGGGAAAATGTTGGTGAAGTTCGAGTGTTGAAATGTCGGCGGACCGCAATTATTAGCCAAATACGGGGGATATGCGGTTGATGGTAAAGCTCTGGAAAACGATGTGCCCCATGAATGGGCAAGACCTGCGAAAGAAAACTCCTTATTATTCGCACTGTTTGAATCGCAATAAACGTAATTATAATATTGTAAACACTTGTTGATTACAAAACCTATATTTATTTATATTTTTATTATTAATGAATAGTAATAATTTATGCAACAAGCAATATAATTATTTTTATATAATACCTACAACCTTTATACGGTTTAAATAATTTAATAATAAATATAATTTATTATATTTTATAAAGTTATGTATTATATTTACGGCATAATAATTGTCGTTCACCCGTAGTTCGATATTGCTTTTGTTTTCTAAAACCTTTTTAATAACAGTGTGTGATCACATACTAACTGAACCTCGCGGTCCAATTTTCACAAATACCTCACGTTTAAGTAAAAATATGACGCATGATAATATAAGTAATAGTTTCATGAAATTAAAACATCGCCACTATAACGCTGTGATAATAATTATTATTTAAAGTTGAGCAATACCGACCCAAATCGAGGTGCTTTAGTGCACTGATTATTATTTAAAATTTTATGAGACGGAAACTTGATTAGAGTCAAGATAAATTTTCAATATCATATTCAATAATGTCCTATCGATGTAGTCTGGTTACAAAGTTCAAATATAGTTAAGTTAATAGTTATTATATTTTTTATTCTTCTAAATTGAGTAGGTGTAAGGTGACGTATAGTCTCCTACAATATATAATAATAATCTCTGAATCATTTGTATTAACACCTCAAAACTAATCTATTTGAAAACGTGTTTATAAAACTTAAGCCTTATGACATTTTAAGAGACTACAAGTCACGTTCTACGGTAAAAATATCTTCTTAATAGCGGCCCATAATTTTTTAAAGTAGGTACATTCTTGTTGAAATCCATGTCTTTTTCAGTGAACATGTGACTACATACGGGCTACGGCCCATGTTTTTTTTAATACGTACCTACTAATAAAACTACAAAATATAAAAATAAATATTATATATTATTATTATATTTAATTTTGTTTTATTTTAGCAAAGACGTATTATTATACTGTGGATAGATTAAAAATGTTATTTTTAATTTTTATATTACATTTTAATTATGTGCTTTTTTTTTTTAATTAATATTATACCAATAGAAAAAAATTGTTTGATATTTTTTTCTACAAACTTCAATTTTTTAATTTGAGGTTGTGTCGTTATTAAACAGCCAATGATAATATTATATCATATAATTATATAATGGACTATACATATCTTAAAATAATAAATATCAATCGATCATAACTCAAATGCAGGTAGGTATAACGTAAAAAACAAATCGTACTACATCTCGTATTATATCTTTTAATATTTATCTTGAGACACGCACTTAGTATGAACTATGCAGCCAAAATTTTACACTTATTTCATGTACATTTCATTAATACGTCTGTTAAATTTTAAAATCATTAACAAGACGTACAATAGAAATAAAAGTTCGTGATTGTTATTATTTTATTAGGTACTTTGGACCTCTAGCATCAGCGTCGCTTTATAATGAGATTTATAATTTGGAGTTCGGGACAATTCCCTCCTCCTCGGAGCTAACGAAGAGCAACACCTCTATTTAGTAAATATCATTGACGGAAACATATTTTTAAAGGCGTTAATAAAATAATACATAAAGCATGATACTCACTCGTATGCGAGACTATACAATATTTTGTATTGGTAATAGGTATAGCAAATATTTTATGTAGGTACTGAAACGACACGTTCGCTTATTATGTAATACTAAATGTTATATTATTACAATTTTTATGGTAATAACAATGATAATTATAAAACCTTTTGTGTGTTTCTTCGGTGGCGCTCTCACGAATTTCAACCGCGTGACCTTTGAGGTGTTTTCAAAGGGTTAATTTAATTTTGCCGCCACCGACTATACGACGACGTTATCAGTTACGAAAAGGGTTGGCAGGCACTTATTATTAAAAGGTCGCGCGGAGGGTAGATACGCGCCAAGAAACGGCCGGAGGAACAGCGCGTGCTGCAAGAAGGTGATATTTACGCGAGCGGCGACGGTGGGCGGTGGCAGTTTAACTTTTACAAGCGTCAACACATAAAAGGGCCCCGTCCGGAATACTGCTGCACACCGTGTGTATAAATATATATATATATATATATACATTCACCGTGCCGATGGGGTTAAGGAGAGAGGGGTTGAAGGGGAGAGGGTTGCAAAACCCTTTATTATGTTGACAGCGGTGCACCTTTTGTGTTAAGCCGTCAGCGCGCAGTGTATATATGTATATTTACATTCACCCTTAACATCAGCCGTTCAGCGTTACTATATAATATGTTATATAATAAATATATATATATATCGCCGCCGTGCACCCGTTCGCACTAATTACATCCACTCAAACAGCTTTTAATTTTAAAACGCCATAACCAAGCCTCTCCTGCCGCCGCCGCCGCCGACCACACGTCATCACCGCCACCCGTAATCTTCCTCTACACGGCCGCGGCGTTCGGTAATATATTATATGTTAACTGTTAAGCTGTAAAGGTATATATATATATATAGAGAGAGATAGAGAGAGATTTATACTTATATACTCGACACACGAATCGCGCGTTTTAATCGAATGTCATGACGTAAGATAAACCTGCAGCTATAATATTCGAGTCTATCAACCGCACCACGTGAAAATTTAGATTCTTTTAGAAAATTTACCGAAAACGATGACTCGACTTTCATTCCTACGACAGTTTTTCGAACCGGTAACGATCACGGCGTGAACCATAAATGTTGGTTTCTGGACGTGAAGTTTACAAGACGACGCGCGACGAGTAAGTCGTCGTGATAAAATATATAGCAAAAATAAATGAAAATAAAAATAACGATATAATAACGTGCAGTCTCGCGCGGGGTCACGTTGGCGCGCGTATATATTATAACAATATTATGTAGTGCTGTAGCAGTAATACGGTGCGGCGATAGTACATAATATTATAGTCAGTTGTAGTTGACGTCGCTATACGGACGTCCGACTCGGCGCGGGACCGGCGGACGACGAGTGCGGCCGGAAGAGCGGAGCGAGAGACGGGCGAGAGAAAACGAGAAAGAACGAGAGGAAAGGGGATAGGGCGCGTTAAAAGAGAGCGAGAGAGCGTCCGCGCGCGCTTTCGTGTGCGGGCGGCGGCGACGAAAGAGAGGCGAAAAGAAAACCGACGAGAAACCTACCGCTGCCGCCGCCGACGCGGGTCGCGGGTGTTCGGCGGCTGCGGTGTCGGCGGTGGCGGTGACGTCACCCACGGTGGGTTGGTTCCACCGGCTTGCGGCACACCCCATTGGCTCTCCGCAAAGCACACCGCACCGTCTGACCGACGACGACACCGACACCGACACCGCCAAACCGAGAGCGAGGCGCGCTGCGGACTGCGGGCGCGCGCGTTAACCTACATTCCGTCTAAACGTCTCCCTCCACCGCCACCGCCCGTCGACGATGCGCCGGCGGCGGAGGCCTCGTTCCCGGCCGATCGCGACGCGTCCTCCACCGCCGGGCGCCCGGCCGACACCGCGCAGCGCAGTGGCACCTATAAGTCGCTATACCTCCACGCGAGCGTGGTGTGCATGCACGCGCGGCGCGTACGGGGAGGAGGTGATGTATTTTCCAATTTTCCAATAAACGTATCGCGTATAACATGAGACATCCTGCACGTCACACGACGCGTTAATATAATTTATAATATAGGTAGGTACCTAATGAGCATCGCCCCGGCGACGACGACTTTTCCGCAAACGACACATAGCTGCAGGAGCCTGCACTGCATGCGGGATGTTTAAAAATTTCGTTTTAAACGCGTTAACGGACGCACCGTGCGCGGGGTCGGGGGGCGACCGTTTCAAAGGCGATTTTTAACACGTCTTGCGAAAACTTTTCTTCGACCGTCACACCTCCCACACGGGTTATTATTGTTGTTGTTGTTATTACGTTATTATTATTATGATACCTACGTACATTATCGTAACGTAATATATTATATTACGTGTACCACGTCGCTATACGATGTCATATATATATATATTATATAAATGTTATTTTTTTTTTTTTAAGGTGACGAGTTTTTTGTTTTGTTTTGTTTTTGCGTTTGTCGTGCGATTGTATAAAATGTACGTTGTTTATACAAATATACCATTATCCTCATGTCGTATTCGTCGTATTTGTCGTTAAACTATCGCTGTGAAAATAATGCATCTTCTATTGAATACAACACACGATTACTTAATTATTGTAATAATAAACCGTTTGATTGTTATGGGATAAGTGTGTGGTATTAACCAACGGTCGGCCGTACAACTATACCTATGAGAAATATTATTATTGTTGGTCGCGCCCATGCATGTGTTTTATATTATTCGGAAGAATTTTTTTTTTTTTTTTTGTCATTACCTCGCAATGACGAATAATAGCTCGAAAATCGCTTTTTTGCCCCGTTGTTAAAATTATCTCTCGACGTTATCGAGAATTTTCGTTATTCATTCTAACGACGGGGACTATCGTTATAATAATAATTCGAATTATTTCGCATCCAATGGAATACATTTGTTAGTTTTTCCTGAAAAATATAAATACTAAAATACCATAAATTTTCACTACAATGACAATTCTCTGATTTTGTTTTCTCTCTAAATAGCGTTCGTTAATAAAAATTTCATAGAATTGTTCTCGCTTTTGCAAACGGAGAAAAGAAAAGAAATAACGCTGTAATATATGTTCAATATTAAAGAAAATAGATATTAAACGATACGTATTTTGCAAAGGTGAGTAAGAGTATTCATCTATATATATACTTTTATAAGTAAATATAATACATTTTTTTAATTATGATTTTTTTTTTTTTGCTTCATAACTTTGTGGTAAAAGTTAAAATTAGGAAGTGCATATTTTCGAATATAAAACGAATGCACCTATAATATTTGAGAAAAAATAATATAACGAGTTTTTTAAAAAAAGCTGTTGATATGTCAATT